TGGGTCTGTGGGTCTGTGGGTCTGTGGGTCTGTGGGTCTGTCTGTGGGTCTGTGGGTCTGTGGGTCTGTGGGTCTGTGGGTCTGTGGGTCTGTGGGTCTGTGGGTCTGTGGGTCTGTGTGTGCGGGGTTTGGGGGAGTGCAAATTTTTTGAACAAGCCATCCGACAATCCATCCGCTTCCGCCTTGTTGCAGCGGTTTCGATCGCCTGGTTGGTTCCATCCGCTTCAACAACCCTGAAGCCTGAGCCCCCTTTTGCCCTATATCCCTAAACCGATAACCCCAACCCCCGTAACAAAACCCCCATGGAACCCCTATTTCAAAAATCAAAAAACCCTGCGACGCTCCAAGAAAGAGAAGCCTCAACTGTGAAGTCCCCGCTTTCTCCCAAAAGGCCTGAGACTCCAGGAGTTGGAAGATTCTTCGGCCGCTGCTCTGCACGTTCTTCTCGTGCTCACCTTGCATTGGGCTACCCCTACCACAGGTTCAAACACAGGACACTGACAGGCGGAGCCGCACATCCAAGCAGGGCCAACTCGAAGACGGTTCATGTGCTATTTAGGGCTGGAGGCACGCGCTGGCCTAATGCCCAAGCCACCCCACCGCGACCCGAGCGTTGTTTTGGGGGGGTTGCAGGGAGTCAAAGGGGATTGAAATTGGGCTCTTCTAGTGTTTGTAGTCACGTGTTGGTTGGTATCTTTGGTCTGGCGTTGCTTCCTCTTCTGAGGTTCCTCATGTAAGACATGTAGGGATCCTAACATTCAGGATCCTGGTGCTTACGGCCGACTGTGTTCTCGTTATTGTCATTCCACTACTAGCAGGCTAGCACTGCTGCCTTTCAGGGCCCAATTTGAGTTTTAGCGTCTTGCGCTGGAGCCAGGCATCTTCTCCTGTGGGCCTAGGGTGCCCGAAACTGAGAATATCCCACGTCATCCCAAGTCGAGGCCAAAGCTGTTGATCGCTTGCACCTCCTTCTTGACAAACTCCTGGAAGAGAGTGCTCGCTGCACTGTGGGTATCGACCGATATGTGGGGATTAGGGGCGACGGCTGGCAAGTCTTGTTGCCGCCCTACCAGCCTGAGGTTGAGAGCTAGGGTTATTCAGCTTCAACCCCCGCACCAAAAAAACCCATCAACTCGTGACTCTTGAGGTTCACCCCACTCCGATGCGCCGAGGCGGCTTTTCCTATCCTGCCGTCGTCTCAGGATCGCCAGGCTCGGCCTCTTTGGGCACTAGGTCCATGGAGCCCGGTGAGGTGCTCACCAGCGCCACACGGTTATGGAACCGTCGGCAGGCCTCGTGACTTTCCAGCAGGCCTTGGCCGGCTGGTGTCCGGACATAGGACCCGTAGGGTGAGGGTTGGGGGGTTTCGGCGGTGTTCCGAGGAAGGGTTATTCAAATGCAAGAACATGTGGTAAGGACCGCGGGCTGGGCAAGAGCCAATGCCTCAGGTGCATGCCAGAGTTGATTGTCGATTGTCTGGGCGGGCTGCCTACATTGGCCTACATCTGCTCTGGGGGCATGCATGTCATGCTACGATGATAAACCAGAGTGGCTCAAGCTCAAAGATCCCAAAGCAAAGAACAACCAAGTCTTTGATGATGCACCCGATACGCTTTGTCAACTCCGACGAACCAGTCATGTGACACAAGCGGAAAGTTAGGGCTCCTCTGGACTGACTCTGGACATGTCTGGAGTCCCTGAATGGTGAGCCACGGAACCCATATCACAATCAGATAAATCCTCCATGAATTGGTTTGGGAAAGGCCCAAACCATGTGCGTCCAATCCCCTGGCCTGGCCCCCAATGTCACAAGCACACCCAACGTTCCAAACCTGGCGCAGAAAACCTCGGCATCAAGTCCTGCAACCATTACGATGACGTCAGGGTTTGCGCTCTCACACAAGAACCAGCCAGACAAGGTTGATTAAGGAAGCACCCAAGAGAAATCCCCTCAACCCCTGCCATGAATCTGTGCTTTTTAAAGCCTGATCGAGTTTTGGATTCTGGGTTCAACAGTTAGGGTGGCTCCAACAATCTGCTTCAGTCATGATGCTTGGGCAAGAAAGGCCCTCAACGCCTTCCGAAGAGCGCTTGCGCTTGCGCCCGTTGGGGTGCTGCTCCTGTCGCTGACCCGCTGCGGCTTAAGGTAACACCCAGACCACAAAAACCCCGAACCTTTGGGGTTGCGACGGTCGGTGAGGAAGAACTCAGCGGACCAATTTCGCACAGCCCAGTACCCTGGACTCGAATAACCTCATCCCGAACCATCGCCAAAGCCCACACGCAGGACCCTATAAGCAGGTTCCTGGTAACTTAGGGATACCATCGCGGGTCTCTCTGATGAGGCTTAGGGCCAGCAGGGTCGATGTTAGGGTGTGCCGTCCAACCATTCGAGGCGCGAGTGGGCGTCCTTGGCATCCTCCTCCGGCATCGCCTTCTGATTCACGTGCCGAATCCAGCGGTCCATTTCCATCAAGAAAACCTGCGTACGGTATGGCATCAAAATGCTGTCAAACTGCTGATGCCCAGCCGATATTCATGAACATGCTGCCGAACGTGGTAACGATGTCCCTTGCCAGGAGAGGTGACCTCGTCCTCCATAGGGGGACTCCCTGTATAGACATTGTGGCGAGTGCTGGATGCATGGCAACCAAAGGCGCGCTGTGACACTGGGGCCGGGAATGGGAGGGACACGTGAAGAGCATCTCCTTTCATCGGCAAAAGCCGTGGACCGTGCCGTGAAGTCTGCCATGTGATCTGGTTCAGCTGGACAGACATCCATCTCATGATGAGAACATGACAAACATAACAACAATGACGAGAAAAGGGTAGAAACAATGGATGACGAGGAGAGGCTAATGATTCTTAAGTTCTTAAGCGATGAAGAAGAAGATGATGATGATGATGATGATGATTAAAGCGGTGACGATTATCATTATTAGTAGTAGCAATAATATTTGTTCATTTACCGAGGTGATGCTAATGATGACAGTGTTGGAGGTGCTGGTGGTGCCAGTGGTGCTGGTGGTGCCGGTGGTGCTGCTGGTGGTGCTGGTGGTGCTGATGCAGAGCTGTAGGATGGCAACCGAAGCAGGAGTATTGGTGGCAGATGAAATAGCCGAAACGTCGTCGAGCAAAGAGTAGAAGTCTGCAGTTAAGCGGTGTCCACCTCGGCCGTGACAGTCGCATCGTAGCCTGCGGAATGGGCCGCTTTCGCGATGGTGGTGCACCGCTCCTGGCCACTCAGCGTACGATTGAGGGTCTTTGTCTCTTACTCACGGGGAGCTTGCCTACGTGCAGGCTGGGGTGCAACACGAAGCTGGGTGGCGTGCGGCCTGCGCCTTATCATCACAATGATTTAAAGCCAAAAAGCACGGAACTCGCAGGAAGTCGAGGTGCTATGCTCAGGCCGTGCAGCTCGCTTTGCAGGTGCCTTACTGGGTTCAAACGGTGAGGGGATTTAAGTTGGCCATAGTTGGTGTAAAGGCAGAGTCGCCGGGAGTTTCGGTCCCCGGGGCGACCTTGGAGTGTAAGGCTTGTTTCCAGAGAGCCCAAGACCCTTTAATTAAGGAATATATACCTTAAATTATAGGGGCCTTAATATTATGATTTAAGGTATATTCCTCAAGTAAGGGGTATTGGGCTTTCTGGGTTGAAACGTTCGTTGATTTCGCTTGACACCCCCGATCCAGCCTGTTTGTCTTCATCAAAATGTTCATCTCCTCCTCATCTGTGGTTATTGCAGTTGCTGATTCTGTTTGGCACCGTCAAAATCATCACCCTGTTGCGTCTTCTTCATCAGCACCACCCCGATCACCATCATCGCCGTTGCCACGGCCAGCGTCATCTGTGTATCCCCTACATCGTCATGACTGACAGCAAAAATGCCCACCCCCATCACTGCCAACATCGGGAACAACAAGCAGGGCTTGCGCCCCACCCTTCAGCCACACTGGCCCCCATCTTTCTTGGAAATTCTACTGCAACTGCAGCAAGGGTGCTTCTGCAAGGTCTCGAGGCTCAAGCCCCCTGCATGCTGGAGCACATCCAGCCGCCCATCCTGTGCCAGCACGCGAGTGTCGAAGAGCAGAGAGAAGTGCTCCACCCAGGCCTTTACGCAGGGTTAGGATGTGGAGTGGAGTTTAGGTTGCCCGGGTCTGCGTGCAAAGGGGCTGATCACTTCGGGAGCCACGGAATACGCTTCTTATAGCCCAGCCAAGGTTCGGACCCGCCTCCACCCGTTTTGTTTTGGGCTCTAAGGTTGAAGCTTATGCATACCAGGTTTTGTTTGTGGTGTTGGTCCAGACCAAGAAACATTGACATTGACATTGCGATTGTCGCGGCTAGCGGTTGGGGTGGTAGTAAGAGGCGATAGCAGCACTCCCAATACTTATGATGACGAGGATGCTAATGCCGACCGCGATCATGCCCAGTAACATTCTCATCACCAGCACGTTTACCATCACCATCGCCCCATCGGATCCTCTCCCAAGCTGAGTTGAAAGCTAGGTCCTAAGCCCCGCACCCCCCATCCTGCAAAAGGCAAACGAAAAACGAACGAGGTCGCCGAGATGACCACTGGAGCGAACCAGGAGACAGCGAGTGTTCAAGGCTAGGCTAGGTTTATATAAGGGTTTGGGGTTTAGGAGGTAGAGCCGAACAGAGAGCTTGAATCCAGCCCCTCCCCAAGGAAAGACCCATTTATGAACAGTCAACGGGATCCTCCAATTGACGGTATGCAGATCATGCCACGAAGCTCTACACTAAGAACCAAACACTACCAGACCCTGCATAATTACATAGAGCTCAAGTAGACCAGGGTTTGCAGGCCCAGGGGCGTGGATACGAGGGAACGCTGAGAAATAGTATATTCGAGTTGTTAATGCTCCTACATCTCATTCCTAAGCCGGCCTCAAGCTAAACCCCGAACCCTGGACTCTCTGAAGCTTTGCGAACGCACCTTGCCGAAGGACTCTGGATCCGCAGGCAGGTCGCCAAGGAACTTGTCGTAGAGGTGCAGCATGTCCAAGCTGGTTCGGCTCTTATTTGTTTAGGGCTCCGGGTTTAGGGGTTGAACATGGAACCCATACATGCCAGACCCATTTACAAAAGAAAAAGGGAGCTTTCCCCAACAGGCAGGACGTAGTCTGCAGACGGCTCCTTTTCAGGTTCCATGCTGGTTTGGGAGAAGGGTATGAACTCAAGAATGTCATGTATTAGGCGTCACGAACCTGATGTTTAGTGAAAGTTGAGTGGTTTCGAGCTGAGGGGCTGATGGCGAAAAACCCGGGAGACTTGGATATCTTTGGATCTCAAGTCGGACGCTGAGCCTTGAACCCTTAACGGGCCACCCCGAAACCTAAAACCGCAACCTGCTGTCCACTGCTAGGCTTAGCAAGGATCCAAGCTTTGCAAGTCAAGCCCAACCCGGAACAGCTTAGCGCTAGAGCCTCAAGCGGCTAAGGCAGCCGAGGCTTTGGCATGCCACTACCCCAAGCTGATCGTTTCGCGGACAAGCAGCAGGCCATTGTGCAACACCACTGGCACCTCGCTTAACCCTTCGAGAGGAACTTAGTGTTCAGGTTTACCGGGCGGTCCTGGATACTTTTGGGACTCGATTTCGGTCGCAGGGTGGATTTGTTTTGGGTAGCAGTTGCAGCTGCAACGCTCGGAGTTTAGGGCTTTGAGGTCTGGCGAGGTCGCACACCATGGGTTGTGCACAGTGACAGCTGAGAGTTTTCTTGTACCGGCCCGGCCAAATCGTCAGGAAAGACACAGTTTTCACGATCTGGATGCCACAATTGGTTCGCTGATCCTTGCATTCCTTGCATACTGGACATGGGGTTACCTCCGAGCCCTGTGCACCTATGCAGCGTGGCATGGCTCGGACTAGGATCAACGACCACAAGCCGCCTCAGAACCAGTAAACCTTAAAACCCCACACACTAATCCTTTTGCATCGGGCCTTCACCACTGCACGGAGCACGAAGCAATCCCCAAAGCCCAAACCCTAACCCTTTGACACCAAACCATCAGAAACCCAACATCGCGAAGACAAGTCTTTGGCGCCTTGGCGTCCCTCAAGGCTTGGAGAACCGGCGTAGCCTTCACGTGCGCATTGCCGGCCAGCTTGTGGCCCAATGGTGGAAGCCTGTTCAGCATGGCTCCAAACCCTAAAAACCCCTGAACCCTACAAACCCCCATAAAACACAGGCTTGATTGGAGCTGGCCCGACCAAGTCCCCTTCCAGCTTAGCGCACCGGTGGCGAGAATAAACCCGACACCCAAAACTCCCGAAAACCTGGACCCCAAGCCCTGGGCCCCAGACCCTCAACCCCAAGCCCTGCTATGGCAGGCACTACTCTTGGAGCAGAGCACTATGGGTCCGCATCTCACCAGAACGTCCGTTCCGGTGAGTTCAACGGCTCAAGTTCAGGTAGGCAGACCCTAAACTTGGTGCTAAGGATATGAAGCAGTGAAGCACTCCAGTTTACAAACACCACCGGGGCAAAGAGCCATGGTATTCGCCATGATTGTGCCATGCTACTAGGATGTCAAGTCACGTCGACTCGCAATCAAAGGTACAAGCGCAGCACCTGCGAGCAACCTGATTCAACCACAAACAGCTTTGAGCTCGGAATCAACAGGGGGGCCCCTGGTACCATCGCGACTTGCGATGTGCACTGCAGGAACATCTAGCACCAGCACGGAATTCACGCTCAACGACCGGAAAGGAAGCGATATGTGGGAAACACACGGCTCAGGGCATGGCTTTACGGTGCGTGGGGCTTTCGGATCTGGGCTCTTAAGTTTCTTAAGCTTTCGTTGTTCAATGCTTCGAGCTCAAGGACCCTTTGGCTGCAACTTCCTCCTGAGGGTTGCCACTATGAGCCACCGTACCCTCCAGTCTTGTTGGACCTCTGGCGCCCCCACACATCACGATTTGCTAAATCGATATCACTAGTTATCACTCTGGCCGCTGTCGTCCTAACAGGGCTTTGCGACTGGCCGGAAGGCCTTCGCATCTGGATCCTGAAACCCCCCATACCGGGTGGCGAGTTTAGAGCTCAATAACTCAAGCCCCACGCCTGGAATAAGGATGGGCACGCTCCAGAAAGGCATTGAAGTCCTGGTGGATGGAGGGAGCCCAAACCGACACGGGCTTCTCTCTCACCGTTAACAGGTTTGACAAGGGAGTAATTCCTGCATGCAGATGTACATGCATTCATAAACACATGCACACACGTGTACATGCATACCTGCATGAAATATCGTATGTGTACAGACGTACATACATACGTGCCTTCATGTATGCATGCATACATACATGCACACAGACGTACATACACACAACCTGCATACGTACGAACATATGCCCGTGAATACTACTTTCATCTGAGCTGCAAGCTTACTTGAGCTTTCACGTCTTCGTTCATCAGGCCACTTCTCGGCTTTTGATTTTCCCTAACAGCCGCCTGATGCAGATGAGCCGAACATACTACGTTCATTTATGCATGAATGCGTGGTGCATGCATGTATGTATGCATGTATGTAGCATGCAATTATGCATGTGCTTTTGCATGTCTATGAATATTTTCATGTATATATAAACTATACATTTGTGTTTACTCAACAGACATAAATACAAATATATATATATATATATGTACATACATATACATATATATATATATACATGTAGCTGTATATGTATATTGACATATTAATTATGTTTTATGTACGCATACATACACATAGGCCCAGACATGTGCACTTACACGTGCACTTTTGGATGTCTGTCTGCCTGTCTGCCTGCCTGTCTTGGCTGGCCATTGTATCACTGTCAGTCTCTGTCCGTCTGCCTGTCCGCATGTCGCATGCATGCATCTATCTATCTATCTGTCTGTCTATCTATATCTATGCACGTACTTAGGTAGGTAGGTAGGTCGGTCGGTCGGTAGGTAGGTTGGTAGGTAGGTAGGTCGGGTAGATCGGCGGGTCGGTAGGTCGGTCAGTCGGTAGGTGGGTAAGTCGGCAAGTCGGTAGGTCGGTATAAGTCGGTAGGTAGGCAGGTCGGCAGGTCGGTGTAGGTCGGTGTAGGTCAGTAGGTCGGTGGGTCGGCAGGTCGGTAGGTGGGTAGGTCTGTCGGTCGGTAGGTCGGTAGGTCGGTAGGCCGGTAGGTCGGGAGGTCGGTAGGTCGGTAGGTCGGTAGGTCGGTCGGTCGGTAGGTCGTTCGGTCGGTCGGTCGGTAGGTAGGTAAGTGGTAGGTATGCATGACACGTATCTCTGTGTGTGCATGTAAATATGCACGTATGTGGCGGCAAGATAAAGACAAACGCGCATGTGTTGCTGACTGCAACCAGATGCCGGACTGCGTTGCCTTGCCCTGGGAAAGACTTAGTGCATACCTTGGCCTAGAGAATTTCGTTTTCTATAATACTGTCGCCATTAATGCTGTTTTGCTGTTCCATGATAAACAAAATATTAACTACTAAACACAAGCTATCGCACTTTGCTCTGCCCAGGCACAAAACCATGGGTGCGCAGAAATTGTAGCGACTGCAAGTCCACCGTAAACAGCCGCCGATCTTGGGGCCAGAGGTCAAACTCATGCGTTCCTCGCATCATGGAGAAATCTATCTGGTTGAGGGTGTAGTTTTTTTCCCCGGCAGAGCGCGCACTCCAGGCTTCGGGTCTAGTGTAGGATTCATTTTTTTTTCACACCTCTTTTCGTCCCTAGTGTAGGATTCGGGGTTCAGGCTTTGTGGGGAAAGGGTGGTGCTGTTTGTTTATAATGTTCTCTCTTGCGCTGCTTGGCGCTTTGATTCAGTTTGGCTTAGTATTCCTCCCCTCTGTGACGGCTGCGCTTGTCTGGCCTGGACGTCGGGGTTTCATGATATTGAAGAAAACCTATTGCCGTTGGTGCCATACAGCATCCGACAAAGCAGCATGGGCCAGGAAACGGCACCGAAAATGTTGAAGAAAGTCCGTCACTGCTGACATACATGATTGAAGACTTGAGCGGAGGGCTTGCGCCAGCTTGCTTCTCTTTGGCCTCTCTGACTCCACAATTGAAACGGAGTTTCTGACCGGAAAACCGTCATCCATGCCTAAAACATTCTACAACCTGCCGAACCGAAGAGCCCAAACTTCAACACCCTCAGCTGCCGGCGAGCCGCGGAGCTCCCAGACCTGCTTCTCTTTCTGAAACTGGACGCAGCACAACCCGAGCTGCAAGGCCAGAAACTTGGGTACGCCTTGGCTTGCAGGTGCAAGCATTTTTTGGGGGGGTGTACCCAGAGAGCCCAATACCCCCTTAATTAAGGAATATACCTTACATTATAGGGGCCTTAATATTATGGATTTAAGGTATATTCCTTAATTAAGGGGTATTGGGCTCTCTGGGTATCGAATGGGCAGCTTGAGGGCGCGTTCGAGCCTTTGCGGGGGTGATGGGTTGACGGAAGCGTACCATTTTGGGCCACGAACTGACAACCCGTGCAAGTGCCAGACTAGTGACATTGTTCTTTGTGCGCTCCCGGCTAGCTGCGAAGAAGCTTGCGGCTTGACTGATTTCGGGCTTCACACTCTCAGAAAACACGGCACATGCAAGCATCAGACTGTAGTCACATGGCTTTGGCGTGTGCAAGTGTCTAGGCTGGAGGTGGCATGATGATCAAGAGTTGCACGTTATCGTTTTCAAAGATCTTCAGTCGAGCTTCTCTCCACGCAACGGGCAAAGTAGGCCTCAGTCCGCAGCGGTCGAAATAGATAGAGACTAAGCTGTACATTACCAAGGGCGTTCAATGGCACTCACGTACAACCTTGGTGCCTAACACTTATTAGCGCATGATCATGATGATGACGAAAAGGACCCCACTCGTAGAAATCAGAATGAACGAAAAGCATGCAAGATCCGGGCGGGCCAAGCCCCCAAGCCCCACAGCCCTAAACCTGAAGCGGTGGTCTGAATACTCTCAGTACATCTGTTCGCCCCTCCCTGAATGCTTTCGGATGCAAGGTCGAGGGTCTCTGCGTTGCCCTGAGCCCCGAACCCGTCCCGGAATCCCTTCACGCCTCCAGTACCTGCGGGCCCCGCTGGTGATCGACAAAGAGTCCCGAGAACTCTAAGTCCAGCGCGACGAAGTCCTGGGCGGGGTTATTCACACAAGGAGATGTTGAGGTCAAGGGAGTTGAGGACAATGAGACCCCAAATCCCACTCTCCGCATTCTAGGGGCTGCATGGGATAAAGGGTTTCATGGTGAGGGCGCGAAGCTTAAAACCAGATTGACATATAAAAAACTCAACAACTCCTCAGAGTAGGGGCTCATGGTTTTGGGCTTCCGTAGCTCCTTTGGCCTGGTCCCTGTAGGCCCTGGCTTCCCCAAAAGAAGGGCGAGCAGGAGGCCCCCCCGCCCATGAGATCGCTTTTCGGACATCTCAGCGTTGAGGGCTTTAGGGTTTTAGGGTGTTTTTTCTTTGAGGGGGGTTTAGGGTTTAGGGTTTGGGCATAACACTCAGGAATCTGCGGGCGTTCCGGTTGTTGACCGCTCCTCTGGTCTCCCGTTGATTCGAGGCTTTTTGGCACTCACACTCGGACAACCACCAGGCAAGGTCTGCAGAGATACGATGCGACAAAGTACTTTCACCAAGGAGGGCACTGGGTTTAAGAATTTGGGGTGTAGTTATGTTCGGCTGATGTTTTGGCCTTCCTGGCTCCACACTCCAAACATGGGCGCTTAATAACCTCTTGGGGGTACAGTAAAGCAAAACTTATAAAAACAAAAACTAATTCAGGATAAGTGCTCCAGAATTTCTATTTCGGGGGTTCTGATTCCCAGGCAGGCGTCAGGGCTTGAATTTCAGTGGTTCATACGGTGCGGGTTTTGGTGGGGTGTTCGGGATCGGCGTCTAACTGTCCACAGATCTGCCGCTGCCAGCCGAAATCTGATACCAGCGCAGCTGAGCTTCTGCGACTTCGATGTCGGAGAGGCACCTCACCGAGGTCCTAAACCCTAAACCCTAAAACCTGCGCTGGGTGGGATTTATCTAAGTGGGTTTTCGAGGATGCCTTGGGCGAGGGTACCCCAGCCCCCTTTCGGCCTTTCGGTACATATGGCTGCAACGTTGAGAAGATCTGCCGCTCCAACGCGGGAGCCTACAAAAAACAATTATTTGAGAAAGATGACATTTAACCAATATCGCTCATAGGAACCCTGTCAGCATCCCTTCCCGTAAGGGTTGTATTTACGCTTATGATCTTTATGGCAACGCTTACAGAAACCGCTTTGGTTATCGAAATACGTATTGTAACCCTTGTGGCAACCTGCATGGCAGACTGTATGGGCTGAACCTTACAAATCCTTACAAACATCCTAAAGATAAGACCCTGAGAACGGTCTCGTTTAGCCGGCTGTGCGGCCCCTTGCCGGCTGTCGGCAATCCTTAATGAGAGAAGTACACTAAATACAATAATAAGTGTGTTTCCATAGTCTCTCAGCAGCTAAGAGCCAAGAGACAGCCCCTAAACCCTAAACCCTAGACCCTAAACCCTAAACCCTAAGATAAAAGGCTTCAGCGTCGAAGACTGAGGGCTTCTCGCTGAGGCTTCGGCTTTATTTAGTAGAGACTCCCCGTCGCAAGCTTATAACACGGCGTCTGCGAATCCCAAGCCGTACAGACGCCCGAAACTCGAGATGAAGTCATCCTCTGAATCCCTAGCAGGGGTGGTTTTGGGCTCGGGCTTGGAGGCTTACAGTGTTTTTCCCTCCTAAGTAGGAGGTTTAGGGTTTAGGGTATAGGGATTTAGGGTCTCGGGTTTAGGGTTTAGGGATTTAGGGTTTCGGGTTTAGGGTTTAGGGTTTAGGGATTCAGGGTTTCGGGCTTAAGGTTTGGGTTTAGGGATGGCTTACTTCGGAGTCCCTTGTCGTGGAGCTTCGGGAGCTTTTGGAGACTGCGTTGACCGGGAGCTTGGCTTCAGGTTGCGGGGGCTAGGCCCGAGGCCGCAAACCACCCCGAACCCTCACAACTTTAGAGTAGAACAACTACAGCAACAGACAGACATACATAACCTAACATACATTACATACATTTTACGCATATATGAATATATATATATATATGAAGAGCCATATACATGTACATATACATATACATTTACAT